CTAAAAAATGTAGAAAAGTGAGAAAAACCGCTTATCTTTAATTTTTTGTAAAAAAATATACATTTTAGAATATCCTTGTAAAATCTTAAGTGTCGATAATTTTTCAGTTTACAGCGTAATTTTAACCAGTAGCAAGCATGACAAAGCAATTAAAGTTTTAAACCCAACAAGAAAAATTCTCTAAATCTCACAAGTTCCTGATACTAACATAGATGTTTATTTTAAGGTTGTCATATTAATGAAGCCATTTTTTACTTTAATGAAACTAAGTTAAAAATCTTGTTTAATATCTTAAAATATCTCTTACTAACAATTTTTCGAAAAAAATATGATTTTTGTATTCAGAGACATTCAAATAATTTATTATGTTAATTTTATGTACTTAACTTTTTATATCTTGTATGCTGGACGACTAAGTATTACAGCATTTCTAGAAATTTTAATAAATCCTACCTTCCAATTTAAAAATGTAAAAATATAAAAATAAATAAAAAATCGGAAAAGTTAGTTTAGAAGAGTTTGCGTTAGAAAAATACATTTACTTAAAAAGAAAATCTTTTGTCTGAAAGCTGTTAGTTTACCAAAAGTTATTTTTAAAACAGAATATCATTTAGTAAAAATAATTTTTTTAATAATTTAGACTGAAACATTAAACGTCTGTGCTATCAACACAGTTAACACAGGGCTGACAACTACTACACTTTTTGCAAAATATTTTATAGAGTAGTAGACAATTAAAAACCAAAGCTTTCAGAATTTTCTGTAATTTTGACAACATTTTAAAAGACAGGGGAAAAAGTGGCATTACATATGAATGTTTGAACCATTTTATTTGTTTAGTGGCATTAAAAATAGTCTTATATCAAAATTACGAAATAAAGAATCATACATTAAAACATAAACTTAGCCACCACTAGACGAGATTTTCCTAAAAAACAAAGAAAGCTGGTAGCCCTGGTACGACATATGATTTATTAAAATATATGTATATATATATATGTGTTTGAATGATTTCTAAGTATTTTTTATACATAAATCTGTGAACAATGAATTTTTTTTCTACCTCTATTTTATCTTGATTTCATAAAGCATATTAAATATTTTTTGAAATAAAATTGTTAAAAATTAATTTTATAATTAAATTTTATTGCATTAAGCTTATCAATGTAGGAATATTAATCTTTGTATATAATCAATATTTTGCATTTTTCATGTTTCTAGTTAAGATTGAGTGCTGTGATTCTCAAACCTTATGGCCCATGAATTCAGGGGGCTATATCGATTATTTGCATAATTTGACGTCATTTAAAAATTGAAAAAGAAAGCTTGTGATAAGAATTAATTGTACATAATATTTTCATATGATCTAAAAAAATTTATACCGTTCTAATTTGTCAAATTAATTTTAGTTGATACTTATACGGAGAGATATGATGAAAATCGCCCAGTCTGCTACCCTATTATTTTATAAATTTTAGAAAAAAGATACTTACAATGCGACTTTTATATTAATGAAATTTAAATTTTAAAATGAAAACTATGTAAATAATTTCATGTCTGTTACCAGATTTGTACGATAATTAAAAGGAACAAAATTCGAAAACATAAATAATTCTAAAAAAATGAAAATTCTATTTAATTTAGACTAAAACTTTATGATGTAAGTTATTGAATTGAATAAACAACAAAGATTTTTAATACGATTTTTTATAATGGAATATACACAGTAAAAAAAGCCTCCACTAAAAAATATCTGCTTCATCAAGCAAACATAGAACATACCAAATAACGAATTTTTTTTCTTAACTGCTTTCATTTATAAGTTCAAATTATGTTATTAAACTAGACATGACATCAGTTTCTAGAGTGTAGTATTTAGTCATGAAAAAATTTACATTTTTATTAACTTTTATCAACTTTTCAAAATGTAATTTAAAGTATTCAACACAAATATAAAATAAGAAAAAAATAAAATTTTTGTTACTGGAAAATAATTCTAAGAAAAACATTTTATGTTTGTATTTTGAAACAGCTATATTTTCAATTCCCTTTCAACTAATTTCATTAATATACTATTTTTTCTTAAATAATGTCATAATAGTACATTTGATTGCTTTTAAAGTGTGTGTTATTTTTGTACTTTATATATCATTTTAAGAAAACTAATTTATTAAGAAATCCTAAGGCATTGCATAAAGAAAATGAAAAATTTCATAGTCTTAAAAAAATTGCTAAAGAATATTTTCTTCATTATTAAAGAATAGTAAGCTTAATATTAATAAAATAAATATCCATTAATTTCAAATATTAAAAAACTATTAAAAAAAATAGCTGAAAATGCAAAAATATTATCTAGAAAATAAAAACAGTATATCCAGTCTCTGTATAAAAACTGCTTGTCAGAAATAAGCAAATTTTAAAATAAAGTGAGAAAATTGTTTAATTTTAATTTCAATAAGATTAATAACAGGTTTGCAAAAACTTACCTCTAAGTAGCTTGGAAGTTACAGATAATATTAAGCAACACTTCAAATATTTTATAATAAAACTTTATAAACTCCATTTAATTTAGCAAAATGTGCTGAATTAACAATTACATAATTAAGATAAAGCAGATTTTAAGAATAATGTCATTCACATAAAAAAATGAAACCGAATTTCTTCATTTTTAAAACAGTTAATATCAGCATACACACAGATTACATAAAAGGTAGTCATAATAGTGGATAGCTATAGACAGAATGAATAACACACAATGCAGCTGTTAAAATCAAACTATGATTTTAATACAAGGGCATTCATAGAGAAAAGCAAAAGCATAGAGTAAAGAAAGAGAGGAAAAGACCATGCACACTTTGCAGTCTATAAAGAGACATGCAATAACAGTATTTTGAAAGTATATACCTCATCATTTGAAAGTATATACCTCAACTGCTGATCAATAGTTCAAAAGGTAGATGCAACTAATAACTAAAGGAATCAATGGATTAAATTTAATGGTTGGACAACTCCCACATTAAAATAATTTATTCTTAAAGATTTTAAGAAATATATGAAAAATCAATTTATTTATGAAACTTTTAGTATAAAAATCTTTTGCTGAACATTTATTTATAAGGTTAGGCTTAGGAGTACTTCATCTTAATGATTTTAGCTTTGGCCACAGATATAACTAAAGTTAAAACAACAGCTGGAAAAATGGGTTTAGTTGTTCACATTTCCTAGAGATATATGTCTACTATAATAAACATTTTTCAGAAAAGAACCGTTGTATTAACCCAGAATTTTAAACTTCTTCTAGAACAATGGAATATTTCTTATTTCGGCAAGTTTGCACAGAAATTTCTCCTCCTTACACAACTTTGTTATTGAACAACAAAAGGATGTCTTAAAAAAAAAACAGCAAGAGTAAGGCTTTTTTTTTTAGGCATAGCAAATGCTAAGACCATTAACATCCAACCGAAACACAAGATTCATATTGAGATACAAAACTATAGATAAAAGTTACCTTTTTAAAATGTTTAATTTGATTATTAAGATAAATGTTTAACACTTTAAACAAGGTGCATGTAAGATACATCAAATTTTCTTTCTTACTGCTTACATTTATATCTACGTTGATGCTACAATTTTATACGATGGGGAAGTAATTTAATGTAACTGCGTAGTACATGAATGAGAAACAAAAGTGCATCAGGATATATTTAGAAATACAAAATTAGTAATCCATAAAATGTGTAGGTAAATTTATTTATACTTTAAGGAGCTGCAAAAAATTATCAAACTATTAAATTGTAAGGCTTGTAGCGACCTCTCTTAGAAATTATAAACAAAGGTAACGCTTAACGCTATCCTCTAAAATCGAAGCTTTTAAGTGTATTATAGAGAATTTATCAATGTGTTTTAACTTACAGACACAGATATATTTATGAAACATTATTCTTCAGTCTTTGTTAGGGATAACATTCTGTTTTTGCTTATAATTTTATTTGATCGAGTAAATACTGAAGTTTTTAATTAAAACCATGGGAGTTAAATTCATTTAGGCTGTCACCAATCTCACTTTAATACATACATATAATATTATACATACAAATTATAGATACATTATATTGATGCTAAATTGATTGTGGATATGGGTATTGTAGGTATTGCGATATTAGATACTTAAACTAATATGGGCACAGTGTTAATAGGTTTTTACAGGCCCATTTAAAGGATAAATACCAATGTATTATTTCATATATGCTCAGCATATGCTTATTCGTAGCACATAAAAAAAAATTTAATTTCACTTTTCTGCTCTTAATTGATATCTGAAAACATGGAACAAAACCCTACCATTAACCAAAAAAGGCTAGATTCTTCATTACAGAGGTAATTGTGAGCACAACTCAAAAATCCTGAAAATTTCTCGGGTAAAATCATTAATGATGAATTTCAAAAAAATAAATGTCTTCAGAAATTTGAATCATTAATATTTTTAAAACATGAAATTTTAAATAAATTATATGCAGCATAATTTAAATGAATAATTATTATAAGTTTACTTTTATGTCTAATCATATTTATTATTCCTCCAGAAAAAATATTTTCAAATGAAAGAAATGCCAAGTATAAATTCTAATTCTAATATTTCTAAATAAAATATACAAGAATTTTTATACATAAATGTGATCCATGATTTCTTGAACTTCTGGATCTTCGTTTCCGAATCACGGTTAACGAAAAAATCCGGAATTCAGATTTTTTTCCGGAGCACAATCATCTCTGCCAATAGTATGATTTAAAACCTACCACAAGTTTAATTGATTATCCATAAAAATGAAATAAAAGCAAAACATCTTGCATTTCAGAAAGTAAAGATATTTGGTCAAGTTTCATTAAAATATAGCAAATAAAAAAAAAAAATTAAATAAAAGAATAGCCATTGATTTGTTGCTGTAATAAAATAAGTATATTTATTATTTATGCATCAAAAAATAATAAATGTACCTTACCTCCTTCAAATGCATCAAAGAATTCGTCGCAATCGGTATCTTGGTAATGGGGTGAATTCGGGGTAGATTGGAAGGGACTCACGATAGATTTCTCAAGCTCAAGATGTTCTTGCGCCAGGGCATGCAATGCATCTTGTAGGACTCTAGATCTTTCTTGCTCCTGCTTCAATTGCAACATGCGGACCTAAAAAAGATATTAAATTCTGATTTATAATATTCATAAATTATGCAACATGTAAAGCAAGACCTAAAATACTGAAAGGCTAAGTGGTTCATTCTTTGAACATAAGATATTTTTAGTAAGGAATAATTAAGCATATTACAAAGTCTCGGATTTATTTGCAGAATCAAATATTCAAAACACTATAGTACATATGATTTAGCTTCTTAAAATGGTAATTTGAGACTAAAATTTTCATGAAAATTTTTGGACCAATCTAATATCTTTTTGGTTTCTGACCATTACATGGAAATAAAATTACTAAATGCATATTCTGTAATTTAAGTTACAGATCTAATTACTTATAATCAATTATTTATAACTAATAGCTTAATTATTAATTATTGAGTTAATAATTATTTAATTATTTTGTAATTAATATTCTGTGTATGAAATGCAAATCCAGGAATTTTTTTAAAATTTCCATTAAGTCTAATATAATAATAATAAAAAAAATTTTAAGCTAGATGATGAATACCTGTTCTCTCAAAAGAGGTAAAAGTTATGTGAAAATATGTGTTAAGCATAACATTGCTGGAGGAATTTATTAACTTATGTGAAATTCCATATGTGCTTTAAAAAATGTTACTTTAACAAAAAGGAGTAAGTGAAAAATAATTTAATTTTTATTACTATATGAGCGCGTTGTAAAAGAATATAGCATAGAATTTAGTACAATAACACACAAAAATTTTGTCACGTTTTTTTCATAGCGATTTTATGATTTGAATAACTTTTAATAAAAATAATGAAATGAAACAATAAAAATGAATGTGACAATAAAAATAATGAATATTTTTCTCAAAAAATATCTTTCCTGTAGTAACACTCCTAAAAAAATCTGAATATCATAAGCAAAAATAGAAAGCAGCACAACAAGCAGATAATAATTTTGGAAAGCTGTTATACCCTTTGCAAAAGAAAGTTGCAGAGTTTATCAACAAAGAATTTCGTAAATATTTCTACTGGCTTTGTATGAAATGAAATAGAATCGTTATTTTGTTGAAAATAATGAAAGTCTTCTTGATATCATAAAGGTCTATTCTTATAAAAAAACTGGCTCTTTAGTTATAACACTTGTCTCCCTATTCTTCAATGAAAGGGATACTAATCAACTTATTTCTTTAATTAATACAAAAAAAGCAATGCAATAGTTAACTTAATAAAAAAATTATGCACCAACTATTTAAGAAAAAAAAAACAATAAAAAAAATTTTTTTAAAAAAATTTTAATACTTAAAATATCAAATTAAGACTAATTAAGACTGAAATTTATTAAAAACTTAAAAATATTTTTCACAGAAAATAATGCACAAAGATAAAAATAAAATTTTTTACCTCTTCCTGTTGAGCGAATACTGTTAGACAATGTGATAAACTAGAAGAAACTTTACGCCCTGATTCAATCAAATTTCCTGCATGAGTATAAAGAGTAGAATGTAAAATTCCATCATAAAATGTAGATTTTGTATGGTCAACATTTGTTTTCTCCAGAGATGATTTCAAAGAATCTAATCCTTTTTCAAAAACGTGCAAATGGGCTTGAGCAGTCTGAAATATAAATCAAAATTTTGAAACAATAGCTCTGAAAATTTTATTGATCAAATAAAAAAAATTTCTATTGATTTTAAGCATAAAAAAGTAAAGAAAGAAAAGAATAATGTTGAACTATCAAATGATATATTTCAAAACAGTGAATGCAATAAAAGGCAATATGTATAAAAATAAAGTCCTTTATTTTTAAATTTAGATGCTTGCATTTGATAATTTCTGAAAAAAAAAAGATCAAATAATACTAAAATTAATAAAACCAAGAGAAACTTTAATATCTAAGAAAAAATAAAAACTTATTTCTAATATTTAAATAAATGAAATCAGGGTATAATTTTTGATGTAGGAATTTAAGTGAAAATAAATTCAAAGATAATTCCATGTAAAAATTATATTTAGCTGTTTTTCCTTTTTTCATAACGGTCTAAAAAATTAAGATTTAAAAAACATACAAATTTTTTATTATTTTAACTATGTAATTTTAAATGACAAAATACAGAATTTGAACAAAGTTGGTCAAATAGTTTTTGAGACTATGTGGTTTTTCATGACTATGTGGTTTTCAGGTGTAATGAAGAATATTTTTTGTCACACAAAAATTTAAACATCAAAAAATATTAAAGCAAATTACTAAATCAGATTCCATATTAGATTAAAAAATTCCAATTTAAAAAATTATTTTAGTTATAAATAAAAAAATTTCTATATTTTAAGAATATTTTAGACACTAATAACATTAAAATAAAAACTGAAATAAGTAATTTTTAAAGCAAAATTTTAATTTTAATTTTAAAAACTTATCACATACTTGAAGCTTGTCTTGCATTGTACCGATAGGTATAATATCTTCCTCATCTTCTGGGTCTGAGTCAGAAAATCCTTGTTTTAAATAATGGCTGCTGAACTCCACATGTTCAGTTATTGCAATAATCCATTTCTAAAAATAAATTTATAATAATAATAATAAAGTTAAAAAAAAAAACGTAGTAACTTTTATTTTATGAATGACGGCAGCATATTACAAACCTGTCTATCAACTTGTTGATTATGTACATAAGGCACGCAAAATCTTTGGCGGGTATTGTCGGAGAAAATTACTGTAAAAACAGCAATATCTGCATTGTCAATCTGAAATTAAAAATACATTTAAATCATATGAATTACAATTAAATTTAATATTTCCGATTTTTAAAGCAATTTTTTTTTTTAATAATTAAAAGCTGTATTTTAGTTTTGTCTTTAAAATAATATGTTAAAAAAGAGAAATTACAATACCAACAAATTTTAAGATATCTTTAAAAATGTTTTAAAGTTAATTATTACGTTCATATATCTGTTGTATTTAATAGTAAGAAATTAATATTTCAACTGGGGAATGAACTTTTGTTCAACTTTTACCACAATGGGAAATTTTTTCTTCATAGTTACAAATAATATCAAGTAATTTCCATGACGAAATTTTTTTATGTTCATTGCAGAAGTAGTTTGATAAGGTAAAATATTTCATTATACACAATAAAAAGGTTAAATTGCAAAGGAAATTATCAAATGTAAAAATGTATAGTTTACCTGAGATTTGGCACTATCAAGATATTTGTAACCTTTACGCCTGGTTCCAGTAGTAGAATCTGCTCTAAAATAATTTACAAAATACATTAGCAAATTTCTCAAAACATTATAAGGATTTCAATGGTAAATTATTTATATAGTCAATATTACAGTTTGAAAAAAATGTAAAAAAATACTGTTGAAAATGTTTTAAATATGTCAATATCATAAATTAAAATTGTAACAATTTTATATTACTAATATATATACTATATACAGTAGAACCTCGATCAATTGTTTTTCAAGGGACTATTCATTATGAACAATCGATAGAGAAAAACGAATGCAGGTTAACTCAAAATATCAAATAGCTATTAAAAATTTACAATAAGTAAAAAAATTTTTTTGTTGAAATATTATGTACATCCTGCAAAAGTATTTACGATGCAAAAGGATAAATAAATTTATTCACTTATTTAAAATATTTGTAAATTTTGGTTCTCTTTTTCCACAATGCAAACAATAAATTTTTAATATTTGTCACAGATTGTTGTTTATTTTCTGAAAAATTGTGTGAACATGAAAAGTTTCTAATTGTTTTAAAAGCTTTGAGGAATTCCCCTAATGTTTTCCCTAATTGGTTTTGTTAAGTTTCGTCTTCATCGGTATCACTTCTTTAACTTCAGCAACCCTTTTTTCAACTTAGTCAATAAAATTATGATAAGCAATTAAATAGTATTGCTTTTACATAATTTTTCGACAGGTGAGTAAGAAAAAAAATGCACTAACTTCATTGCGATTGAAAGACTTTAGGCAATGTAAAAAGCCACATTATCAAATTGTTCAGCAAGGCATTTTTGATGAAAAACATGATTTTCATGTAGTAAATAAGAAGTTGTGTCACTGCTATTTAATGGAAATTTATACAGTTAATTGATTAGCCACTCTATTACCTCAACCCTTCAATAATATAGTTTGGCATCTTATTTTTCATATACAGTCTGTGATATCGATTATGGTCTCAATGCTACACAAACATTTGTCACTAGTTCTAGATATTCATAGCAAAGGCTATTGGTACAATTGGTAATAGATTCCTATTCCTATCCTATTTTACTGCCTTTATAACTAGAATTTTAATATTACTTAAACTACTAACTCAGGAGATGTATATTTTGAATAGATAGAAAAAAAAAATACCTGACATGATATGTGTATAACTAGAAGCTGAGGTAGTTAAAATTTAGAATTAATAGAGGGCAGTCTTATAACAGCTGTGATCAGATGAAACTACAATTTCAAATGCAAAATTTTCAATCTGTACACTATGTTTAATTTAATGACTTAAACTATCATTGTTCAAAAACTCCCAATTAATTATAATTTTTTGTTACATAATATTAAACTCTCATATTTTTAACATGACAGCATGTAAAATAAAGGTTTATTTTCCTATAATATAGTTTGCAATTAGGTGTAGTTCAAAATTAGGAGAAAAAATCCTTAAGGTCTAAATTTAAAATATACTTGCTAATATGAAGTGCTAATAAGAATTTAAAATACATTTGCTAATAAGAATGGATATTTAATTAAACATTACTTCAATATTTTAGATAAATATCATAAAATATTTGATCAAATTAAGTATGTTCTGCAGTCAATTTCTACTTTCCCCATCTCCATATTAACTCGTGGAAAATTATATGAATCCCAATTCCTTGTTTATGAGTTTGCAAGTAAGAGTTTGAAATAGATTTTGTTTTTTTTTCTCACTAAAATACTATTTCATGAGTTTCATAACATACATTTCAAGAAATAAGTTTTAAAAAAAATCAAATTAGTTAGCTAACTAATAAATAGAAAATCTGTGTTCATTTAATTCTTTACAGGTTGACATGGAAAATGAGGAAGCAATCCCACCCTTATTGATATTTTATATGAATTAGTTAATTCTTCCTAACAAGAATTAACACTTCTAAACAGTGTAATACACTAAAGTACATGCTTATGGAAATTACATACTATATTTAACTTATTTGAAGGTATTAGAACATATTTCAGTAATAATAAAAAAAAATTTAAATTTTAGTACAATAACTAACTAACTCAGTGGCGCGACAGCCCATTAAGAGGGCCAAGGCCGACTGTGCCCATCTCAGTTTTCTTGACCTTGGGCTCTGGGGTGCAGGAGCATATGTTCCGGTCAGGTGGTCAGCCGAACGCGGAACCCCCAGTGTTAGTTCCCAAGCATGCTTGGTACTCATTTTATCGACCCACTGAAGGGATGAAAGGCTGAGTCGGCCTTGCCCGGCTCAAGGATCGAACCAAGGACCTGTGGCACGGCAGCGCAAAGCGCTACCACTCAGCCACCGGGCGTCATTTTAGTACAATATGACTTATAATAAAATAGTAAATAAATATACTTTTTGTTTTAAGTACATGCTTATGGAAATTACATACTATATTTAACTTATTTGAAGGTATTAGAACATATTTCAGTAATAATAAAAAAAAAATTAAATTTTAGTACAATATGACTTATAATAAAATAGTAAATAAATATACTTTTTGTTTTAATAAATTCACAAAAATAACTCACAGTTAGATAGATACAAATAATAAACCATTTCAAATCTTAACTTTCATTGTAAAAATAGTTATAAATCACAGTTTCTTACCGAGAATTAAAAAATGACATTACACCTTTCTCTAATACTGTATACACATCTTTCCATCCTAAAAATCGACTTTTCTGAAATAAAGTAACATTGAGCATTTCAAATACACGAAGATATGATTAACGCAAGCAAAATGTAAGACATAGTATTTAACAAAAAAAAAATTTTTTTTTGTTTACAACAAACAAATCAGTGTTATAAAAAAAATTTTGAATTATAGTATTTTTACCATACATAGAGCTTCTTAGTACAACAGCTATTTTATCTGTAATTTATTGGATGGAGTTTTTTGAGAAGGGAAAAGTATGCAAAAAATTATTCTAGTGGCTTGATAGAAAAGGAATCCAAATACGCAACACATTACATGATGATTTAGCACAATGGTTACAACTTGGTAGTTAGGACAAATAATAAGGATTGAGTGTCAACCCATGATAGGAAATGCCATTGTTCATCACCAGAGATGACTACCTGCTATTGACTGGCTGTTTGTGAACATTTGAAGAGGTGCTTTAATTTATCGAAATCGTCTTAATTTCAGATTAATTCTATATTTTCTAATAATTGTTAACAAAAATTGCATTCAAATCAGTACAGATTTAATTGTTTAATTATAGTTTTTTGATTGGCAACTAACTTGCTGAGCTTGCCAAAATTGTAATTAAGGATAACACAGCATTTCTGAGCCTATTTGAATGTAGTTTTAAACAATAATTATTAGAAAATATAAAATTAACATGTTCCATTCCTATAATTTGTCTTAAGCTCCCTTCAAGTTTGTAACCTCAGTGCTGAATAACCCTTTGTTTCAGAAAATTTTCACAAAAAAAACAAGCATTAAAATTAGATTTTATGATGCAACAAAATATTTCATACTACATCTACATAAGTGTTTTATCCCATTTCATGTCTGCCTTGTTGTAGATTCATGCAATTGAATTAAAGAATTAAATATACACCTCCTTGTGTTTCTTTTAATTAGACTGAAATTTCTCTCAATTAAACTTTGTTTCTGTGATCCAACATATTTTGCACCCCTGGTGTTAAAAGTAAGTTTTAACTCCTATTTGCAGCAAACAAAACACACCATAACTTATTAAGTTATATTAATATATTCATAAACTTTACATGCCTATTTTAATAATATTTCATACTTTTTAATTTTCGGCAACTATTTGTGAAATTTTAATGGTATCTATGCATCATAAGAATAGAATGCTTTCATTTAAAATTTTCTATTAAACAGTAAAAATAAGACAATAAAGTGAGAGAAATCACATTACCGAAGAAAAAAAAACTGAACAACAACAAAGAATAACAAACTGTAATTCATAAAACAAATAAAAATTTCATGCAATTGAAGGTAAGGATAAACTGTGCAATGTGCGATTAACTAGCATATATGAAAATCTTTTAGCATAGTTTGTGTAATACTTAAATATATTTTGTATTGTGACAAACCGCACACTTCATTTAATAGAGTTAGAAATAAAAGTTAAAAGCTTCAGTTAGAAATAAAATTTAGGTTAAAATTTGTTGACAAAAACTAATATCTTATATTTCAAAAATAAAATATACCTGATTAAGCTTTATAAAAAGAATTCATCAACATAAAAATAATGCCAAATAGTAATATTAATATCTCACATAAAGCTTTTTTATATAAAAAAAATCTATTTGTATTGTACTGAACGTAGAAGAAAAAACAGAATTGGTAATACTCTACCAAACTTGAACAACATTACCTATTCAAGGTTAGGAAATCAAACTTTTATAAATTATAAGACTGGCAACAACAACAAAAATATTTCAACAGATATATGTACTTTAAAATACAGAATACTATCAAAATTTATTTAAACACCCGCAATGTTTACTGAACTCTATTAACACTCCACCTAATAGTTTCGCGAGAAAAATTGTATTGTAAATCTTTTGCAATACGCCATTTTCATATAAGCTAACAAAAGGAAAAGCAGTTTTTTTAAAATAAGAAAGCTACCAGTTTAAATGTCAGAAAAATCTAGAGTTCAACAAGATAGTTAGACAAATGAAATAAGACTTACTCTCAACAGTAGTCCTTCAAATCTGGAAGCAGTTTTTTGAAAGTGTTTAACAGGTTGTACTCCAAGAATTTGCTTCATTTGCATATTAAGAGCTAAGTCAATAGCTAATTGGCCTAAAAGTTGAAAACAAATAAAATAAGTAACAAAAACAAAACAGAAATATGAAACTATACAATTATTTTTTAACACAATATTTATACGAGCCTCTTAAATTTTTAAGAGATGTGTTAATTCCATTTTGTAGTAACAGAACAGCTACTTCTTTTTTCCCTCTGTATGCAGCACAATGTAATGCAGAATTCCCGAGAGAATCAACACAGTTGATATCAGGTGGATTATCACTTTTGAGCTAAAATATGAAAATATTTTTCTTTAAAATGACAATAATTTTTATCCTAAACTAAAACTAATAAAGTTTCCAGATTTCATGCATTTTAATCTGAAGAGCAAAGCATTAGTTATCCATTTAAATTAAACTTGAACAGATAAAATAAAATTTTTTAACAACATTAGTTGACAAGCAGAGTCCCTAATGTAACTAATACTGAATTTCTTGCAATATATTTTGCTATAAAACCTAGATCAAATTTTTCGAAAGTTAACTCATACGAGATAACTTCTTCAAATCCAATCCAGTTTATATAAAAACGAAAGAATTAATTTTTTTCTATATACAGAACAAATAACATTCAAAAATAAACCGCTGTATATTTTTAAGATAACTTCATAATTTTGTTTTATTTTCACTTCAATCAATTCAATATTTTTTATCATATTGAGAAAAAAATAAATCAAGCTCATACAGTTCACTGCTAAATAATCAAAAGGAATGCTACTGAATGCATATCATAATATTTAAACCAGATAATTTGTACAAATTAACTTAGTTGATCTATTTCCCACCTTCACAGTTTATTGAGCCTTTTTTCTTTATTATTCTTTCAAAACTAAAATGTTTAACTATTTTTATTCTGTTTAAAATAAAAACAAACTATTTCAATCAAAGTCACTTTTACTTTAATTCACAAAAATTATTCATAAATGTTTTTCTTCCTTTTAACTAGAAATTTTATGACCAAATTAAGAAATCTCCTAAATTTCTCTGAGAATTTCTAAGCATGCTTTTATTTTTCCATTTATTATTTGATTTGTTGAGAGTATATATTAGCTGATACATTTATTTCTGAAAGACAGATTTTTCTTTTAATTAGTTATCATTGGTAGAATAAAAGTGAAATAAAGTGACTAATCAAATCTTTTAAATAGGACATGCACATCAAAAAAAATCCTTAACAGAAATGACTGTGAAATTTTCATTCCTCACTATTTTTCATGTTTTAGGCAATACTGAAAATGATACATTATTAAACAAAAACTAGAAAGAATTTATAAAAATTTTTTTTTATCTAGCACTACAGTTTGAATAAGCATTCTTACTAGATCTTCAAATGGTACATTATTACACAAAAATTATAAAGAATTTATAACAAAAAAAAATTTATCTAGTACTACGGTTTGAATAAGCATTCTTACTAGATTTTCAATGGTATCTCTATCACCCTCACGAGCTGCTTGCAATAACATTGAGTTTTTCCTTTCAATATCAGCATTTTCAGCACCTGGTTAATAGATCAGAATTAAACATGAGCACCAATTCATAATCATAAGCACAAAGATATAAACACTAAAATATACCTTTAAGGAGTTTAATTATTTCATCATTATCACAAATGCTTCGAGAAGTTTGACCTTCACTATTCCTAATAAATACATCTGCATTTTTTGATAGCAACAATAATACTAATTCCTAAAAAATAGTTTTAAAAAAACTAAGTGATAGAACAATGGAAGAAAACTATGCAACATAAATTAAAATATTCTAAAAAATCTTTTTATTACATGAACACAAAGTTAGTTCAAATTCTAAAATTGATGAAGGAATTGTAATGAAAACCTTGATCAAAGGTTAAACAAGACACATGCAGACAAGAAAATGACAAAAAAAACAAACAAAAAAAAATCAGTTTTGTGGTTAGATAAAACTGAATCTTGAAAAATCAAATTTCAGTGAAAATAGTGGTAAAAATATAAACAGTGACATTTTATTAGACCAAAACAAATAAAAATTTTGAGAATTATGTAATGAATTTTGACTAATTGCTATTTTATGAACTTATTTCTAATATTCAAAAACTATAATTATTAGACGTTATCGTTACCCTTTGACCACATATTGTAACATGTGACTTTTTTAATTTATTACAGGGTGCATAGCCAGTTTTTCAATCAAAAAATAAGCACCTTCTAAGTATTTTTCAAGAACTCAAATTAATCACCTTCCAAAAAAATCATAGTTAGGATCTGCGCAGTAACAAAAATTATTTTTCCGATCGTTTAAAGTACTTAATTTATAAACATAAAATCAATAGAATTCAAAAACATTTTAAAAAACTTGTCATAATCATGATAATATAACTAGTTTCTGATAAACATTGCAGAGAAAATTGTGAAAATAATGAATATTTTGTAATTTAGAACAACAATCGTACGGCAAAGAAAAAATCTCTTTTTAAAAGATAGAAAATTAAAAACTTTTTACAAACCCCAAATAAAAAAAAAGGCACCTTAAGGGTTCTTAAAAAACGTAACTCAAAAATAAGCACCTTTAAGCACTTTTTAAAAGCGCTATGCACCCTATATTAGGATGAACATGCAGATTGTTTTCAATTGAATTGCCAAATGAAAATATATGTCCTAAATTATTAGGAATAAAATTTCATTGAAATTGATAATAATAAAAAACGTGAATAACATGAGAACAACAAGTCAAAGAAAAAATCATTGATATAAAAAAGATGCTTCATTGAACTAAGAAGTGTGTTCTTAATGTGTGAAGAATATATATGGAAAAAAGCATTCTGCAATAGCCTGTTATGGAATCAGGTGTTACGGAGGTTGAGTTACCACAATTTTGTGACCAACAGTGTGATTGTGGCAATGTGTTCAGCATCGCTTACAAGAATACATCGCTTACAGTGCACAAAATAAAAAACGGACCTACCCTGAATAACTTTTGATCTAATTATCGGATCTTTAAGTTCTAGGACTGATTCTTAATGGTTCGAGCAGGTGATTTCAAACATGCTAATTAAACACAATCTTACATCACAAATGTCTGAGAAGAAATGAAGTACAGGAAATGACATGTTGCTGTAATGCAATTATAAATACTGGAATTATGGCACACCTGTGAGTTTGAACACATATTGGATAATATTGGCACATTTCCTTTTTTGACTACATCAAAGAGTCTGGCGATTTATCTTTATCACACACCATAAATCATAGCTTCCCAATAGTTTTTCCATAACTTAAATGATTCAAAAAAATAAAAATAATTAATTTTTTAGGTGAAATAGCAAAGAGTAGATTTTCATATCTGAATATTGCAGAAATATTCGTCTAAAAATGTGCATGCCTTGATACTGTTTCATTTTTAATTCTTGTGCTATGTGTGTGAAGTGTGAGTGGCAAAACCCTTCTGAAACAATTACTGAAATATATACAGGGTGCATAGCCAAGTTATTCAACAAAAAATAAGCACCTTTTAAGCACTTAAAAAATATTTTTAAGCACTTTAAAAAAGTATCATAACTAGGCAGGGTTGGAAAGTTTTTTACTATTGACGGTTTTTATCTTGTTTTAACAGTCATGTCAACAACAAAAAAAAAAACTTTTGGCATTGTTTTTGACAATTGTCAAAAATCATGAAAGTTTAAATAATGTAAAATGAATGGCATTTTATTCGCTACAGACTAACAATACGGCAAAATAGATTGGGGTTCAAATCATTTTAAGAATGTTGAATAGAACAATGCGAACTGTCTTTTTGCTTAATTCATAGCGAAAATCCACATAGTTAAGAAAAAATCTCATTTTGAAAAAAAGAAAATTAAGCACTTTTCAAAAACACCCAATCAAAAAAGCATTTTTTGAAAACACTAAGCACCCTGATATATGTATAATTAACCAGTTCGCCATTGTTTAAGTTACAGACGACAAGTAACTTTTTTATGATCTCTATAGCAACAAAAAATAAACATCTGCTTTGTATTCAAAAGATAAGATTCAATTTATTACCTCTCGACCTGTATATGCAGCTTTATGTAGAGGAGTGTCACCAGTATCATTTAAAACATTGACATCTGCTCCATGCTATGCAAAATTAACAAAATAAAAAAAAATTAAAAAGATTTCACAAAAAAATGGAGAAAAAAAAACATTTACACAGAATGGATAGTAAGCACACAAGAGTAATAATTACACAAGAAATGTCACATACAAAATGAAAACAATTATAAGATGCTTTATAACTAATAAATTTTGCAGTTTCAATAATTTTTTATTTGCATAATTTTGCAATTGCATAATTTTGTTTTTAATGTGTGTATGTTAAAGTTAATAAAAAACTCAATAACATTGGTATAACTGAATTGCTACTATCTACAGCAGAGTGCAATCTAATATTTTTATTGAATTTGGTTTACACCAATGAAGGTATTAAGACATATTTGACTTTGATACATAATAGAGACAGATTGATAGTTGATATTTAATTAGTAGATTTTGTTATGACACTCAGATTTAGAGATAACCAAAAACTTCCAATCGTAGTGTGCATATAAAACTAATGAATAGTAATGTCACCAAGAAAAAAACTGAATGACATGGCCGAATTCTCTTCAAAATTTTTAAAGCTATCAGCTGAGAGTGGAATTATTCAAAGCCACAGTAAATAGGAAAAATTTGTTTATTTAAATCATATCAACCATTTTAATTCAATAAATTAGAATACAATTGTCATTTAAATCACTTGGAAATTTTGCTTGATACAAATACAGTAGAGAAACGATTGTCCGGAACGATTGGGACCATCGCGATTCCGGATAACTGATTTTTCCGGTTTTCTGAATCGCTACAAAATGCCGTTTTTTTTATAATGTTTATAAAACGAAACTAAAAAATAATTTTGAAATAGTTTTAGAAATAATAATAATGATTTTTCCGGTTTTTTGAATCGCTACAAAATGCCGTTTTTTTTTAATGTTTATAAAACGAAACTAAAAAATAATTTTGAAATAGTTTTAGAAATAATAAAAAATGATAAATAATAATACTGATTTTTCTGGTTTTTTGAATCGCTACAAAATGCCGTTTTTTTTAATGTTTATAAAATGAAACTAAAAAATTATTTTGAAATAGTTTTAGAAATAATAAAAAATGATAAATAATAATACACTTAAGTTTAAATAAGGAAAGAAATTATGAAATAAAAATTATATACAGGCTTATATATGTTATTATTAACATGAATAACATATATAAGCTATTTGTGCTTATGTGAGATTCGTCTACAAGCGGCTTTTGATCCGTCCTCTAAAGCAGTTCTTTTGTCAACTCGATACGCTGTATGCTCTAAATAACAAAATGGGCTCAAAATCTTGCAAGAAAAAAAAAAAATTTTAATGGAAGAAAATTAATTTCCGGTTCCGAATTTCATTCCAGTTATCTGGTTTTCCGATTTCCGGATAAGAGGTTCTGCACTGTACTGGAGATTCTCCATTTCCACAGTAGAACCTCCCCCCTTTTTTTAAATACTAAAATTTCAATTTCAGCTTAAATACAGTATTTTTCCAAATAAGTCCACTTGATAAGGGGAGTAAAGTATAAATAAAATTACATTGGGAATTAAGTATGGAAAATAACAAACTTACTTTAATAAGACTTTCTACAATTTTGTCATGTCCAAAATAACAGGCAAGATGCAGTGGCCTCCAGTCATGATTTCCTTAATTGAATACATATTATTTTGAAAATATACATATTTAAGTTATTTAAAGGATTAACTTATTCTAAATTAAAAAGCAATAATAACTTTTTTTAGACATCTAATGCAAGACATTTAAAATATCAACATATTAGTTTAAATTTTAAATGACTTTCTTGTAAAAAAAAAACTTTATAACAATCTTCTCAATATAAATATACAAAAAAGAAGTACAGAAATCAGAAGAAGAAATCCAAGGAGTATCCAAAATTTTAAAAACTTATCAAAAATTAAAAACCTTTGTGTAAAAGATAATAAGACAGTTTTTTTTAAAAAATTAAAAAGCAGTTATTATACGGAACTCGCAAAAATGTATAGTTTGCATATTTTTTTCTAGCCCTTTTGAAATAAATTTTGACTTTGTCAAACTTCACCAAGAAAAATAAAGTTATCACTTTTACACATAAATAAATTTTCCAGTTTCAAATATTTTAATAAATCTAATATTTTAATAACAGTACAAATGTTAAAGATTAACATAAAAACCTACCAAGCTTATATTTTTAAATTTGAATACATAAGAAAATCCAAGGAATTTTATTTTAAAAAAAATAAGAGTAAATTATTGATTAAGTTTGCGTGTAACATGTAAAATTAAAATTATTTGCTGCTATTTTTTTCTTCTAACTTTTACAATTCATTTTTTTTTTCTTTTAAAGTTTTTCTTAAACTGTTAGATTTTGACAGCTAAGTCATATCACTTATTTTCCCTGTTTGGACAGTAAATTCATCAGCGTACTTAGTAAGTTCATCTATGCAACACAATAATCTAAGGAGTTTCTAAGGACTAATTTAGAAATCTAAGTAGTTCCAAGTACTCCTTGGAGACTTTTTTATTTCCAAGGAGTCTGTAAATAAGCATAAAGGACAGACAATTAATCTTGAATTGAGATGCTATAATGTTAAATACATTTAATTTTAGTGACATCTGTTTTATTTTGATATTTTTCCCCACTATATTTCTTAAGCAATAATTCAAACATTCAGCAACTTATGCTGCATTGACTTTTGAAAATTCTTAATAGCTAAATTCTAATTAGAACACTAAAACTTTAAGAAAATATAAATGTATGTATGTAATATTATATATAAATATGTATACATATATATACAAATATATATATTTGAATATATTTGATATAATATGATTTTTAAGCAACAAGGAGTCTAATAATTTAATGGAAAAAAATTATTTGTACTTTTCTATTTTGTTGGCATAGGTGTTAAAATGGTAAAAGCGAAGTCGTTAGGTGCAATTACAATCAACTGTTTCTTTATTTAATTTTTTTATTTTGGTGACAGCTATTCTTTTAAAAAAATAAAATAGCTGAATTTATTTGCTCGGGAAACATGAAGAACTAGGTACTAAAAAAAAAAAAAATTTACTTTGATTATTACTTAATTGATGGTATAAGTTTACATTTTTCAGAAGTACTGATGAATTTAGAAAATGCTTTAAAACTGTTTTAGTTTAGGATTCTTTTTTATTATAAAAAATAAGAACTTTAAAATCCATATACCTTTACAATTGATATCTAAATCTATTTCATTTTTATGAAACTGGTCCAAAAGCAAGACAGCTAGAGGTAAGTCTCCAGTCCTTGAAGCAAACAATAATTTTTCTTCAGGTGACTTGCAGGACCGCAAAGATTCTGATTTGTCATCCTCAGACATATCCTAGATACATATGTAATTTTTTGTTAACATAACATATTTTTATGAATAAATAATTCTATAATTGGTAGATTAAAATATGATATAAATGTTTTAAAACAGGTTTGATAAATAGTGATAAGTTAGCGTATGAAAACAAATAGGTAATATTTTATAATAAATAGACGCACAATAAATAGATGTAGATTAAATAGGTGTTCTATAGATAATGCTAAATAAAAGGATGTATTATAGGTAATGTTTAATAAATAGAGGCAAGATGGATAACATTCAATAAATAGACATAAGATGGATAACGCTCAATAAATAGACGTACAATAAGTAACCTCCAATAAGTAGATGTACGACTGGTAATGTTCAATAAGTAGATGTATGACTGGTAACGTTCAATAAATAGATGTTTAATAGGTAATGCTCAATAAGTAGTTGTACAATAGGTAATGTTCAATAATTAGATGTACATTGGATAACATTAAATAAATAGCGCAATAGGTAGCATTCAATATATAGGTGTATAATTGGTTTAGTATTTCAACAAGGAAAATTGTTAATTTTATTTTATTCAGATAATACTGAACTTGAGCTATAAGAAGCAAATCGCACAATAATAGGTTAAGTTCAATAAATAGGTACACAGTAGGTATTGTTCAATAAATAGGTGTACAATATATAATGTTTATAAAGAAGATAACTATTATTTTAACCTGGGAATACTAACAATTATTTAAATGTGCATTGAAATGATTTAAATGTGCATTCTTGAATCAATTTTTTAAAAAAATGAATGTTAATAAAACACTCTACTTAATTTCTTACACATTGAATTCTTGTTTAATACGATTTCTTTTTAAATATATTAATAAGTTATAATTTTTATTCAATAATTTAAAATTTAGCGAAAATAAACACAAGTTACAAAAATCGGCAAAAAATATTAGGGCCATTCTCCTGTTATGCACGGGACATTTGCAGGCCTTTGAAGTTTATAAAAATAGCAAAATAATGGAGTAATTTTTTTTTTTTTTACAATTCAATTCAAAACAAGTCTGTTTCTTAAAGACTGCATAGAAAACAAATAAAAAATTAAAGTTTAAATACTTGAAAAGGGATTTAATATAGTCGTTATGCACGGGACTCAGAAAAAAGATTAATTTCTACCCTGACTCCTATTTTTCATAAACTCTGTGAATTTAAAACTTGTATATTGTCATTATATTTTTTTCTTAGCTGATAAATATTACTTCTATTAAATTATGCTGGATGTTTTCAAAATACATTATTTGATAAAATTCTAAATTTATTTTATTTGTGTTATGCACGGGACATACCTAATGTTATGCACGGGACATGTCTGCAATTTATTACACACGGAAGCATACACTTGATTTAATTATGTATATTTTGAAGTGGCAACACTAATTCATACTTTGAATTTAGTTCGGTGATCTGGATTAGAAGCTTTATAAATCATTATAAAGGATAATTACAACTGTATCGCCAAAGGAAGAAAACAGGGTTTAGGAATAATACACCATCAAGAAGCCAAATTGAAAATGCCTACAAGATTTATCAAGCTGTCGGAAAAGCAATGAGAAAATCATTAAAATCTTTACCTAAATCTCCAACCAAAAAAAAAAAAAAANGATATATGAAAAAAAAGAAGAAAATTGAAATGCTATAATATTTTTTCAGCTAAGGAAATAAATGTAAATATGTTGATTTTAACAAGAAAACTTAAAAAGTACAATGCTAAATTTTAAGAATTGATTCCATAATAAAAATTTAAATATAACTATTATTGTATCTGATTTTTTAAAATTTAACCTACGTACTTTATTATTGAATGAATTAAAAAAATGTACAAGTAAGATAAAAATTGAGGCTTCGAGTGTTTACAGTGGAGAATGGCCCATAGGGCAATGTTGTTGTTGTAGTTCATTTACGTCGCACTGGAGCTGCACAATGGGCTATTGGCGACGGTCTGGGAAACATCAATGAGGATGATCCGAAAACATGCCATCACAATTTTGATCTTCTGCAGAGGGGAAAATATTAGGGCAAAAATAAATAAAGATTCTGTTATAATATGCTTTATTTGAATGCAAATTGATGTGTTTGACACAATAATGTATTCGTATCTATCAAAGAATAAAGAAATGATAGTTAGAACATAAAGGCTTCAGAGGAAATAAAATAATAAAGACTGTTCGCTTTTTTTAATTTAAAAATAACTATAAATAAAATTAACAGTGGCACTTACAAAATATAATACTTGGCTTAAAGTCAATTGAACTAAATAAAATTAGGAATGATTTTTCAATAAATATTTAAAAATAAACTTTATGGAATTTACTTAGAGTCGCTGAGGTAGACATGAATTTATGCAAAACACCTTTCTAAACAAGAAAAATTGAAAATCACATTGTGTTTGTTTATATAGGGCGGAAACAGCTGACCCGCACATCCTCACAATCAGAAATCCGCTTCCTGTCCAATCACGAGATTTAAAATAACTTGCATACTATTTGAATCTGGCATCACATATATTTTATTTGACAAGTTTACTGCCTTAACTGCCACTGTCACTACTGAATACTGTCTGTAGTTTTTGTTTTTTATTGATATTGAATTTAGGTCTTTCTGTCTGCTAAAGTTATCATTTATTCATGGTTTAGAAGAAGATGGACGACGAGGCGTATGATTATTTGTTTAAGATTGTTATGATTGGTGATTGTGGTGTTGGAAAAACATGTGTTGTTCAAAGATTTAAATCTGGTACTTACGTAGAGCGTCATGGTAATACTATAGGTGTTGACTTCGCAATGAGAACTCTTGCAGTCAATAAGAAACGCGTTAAGGTTAGTTGCAATGTGCATAACCTAAAATTTTAAAACTTTCTTTTCTAATTTATTTGAAATTGTTATGTATAAATTGAAACAATTATAATGGCGCCTTTGAAAAATCAAAAGTAGATTTCTGTATTGTATGTAACTGTAATTTTTATAATGTTATGTAATATAAACCATAACATTCATTTAGCTGGAATATTTTCTTTATTTTTAAATAATGGCTCTACTTTTTTATAATAATGTACACGAAAGTTATTATGAGTTTTTATAATAATATATACGATGCTTTTAAATTTCTCTTGTTAAAAAGAGCTAATCTTTTAAATGATTGAGATTCATACAGTTTAAAATCACTAAACAACTATGCTTCAAACATAAGTGTAGCGTCGAGGGTTCATGTGCTCCCTTAATAATTTTGAGAAACTTCAGAACATTTAATAAACCCAAAAGGTATTTTATGGGTATTTCCATATTGCGATCTGTCATGCCAATTACAATTACCAAGGTGCTAAATGAATTTTGAACTTGCATTTTTTTAAAAAAAAAAAAAGGTTTACCAGAGAGCGTCTCTGAGTTATATACCCTTCAAGTTAATCCATTTTGGTGATTTCTTTCTCCTTTTTTTTTTGTAGTTTCTGGCAGGCCACTGCCTGGAAGTTACCAAACTTTGTTAATATTTTGCTGCAGATCACAACACAGAAATTTGCTTTTAATTGTTTTATTTAAATTGTTATTCATATCATGAAATATATGTTTTGCTTTAATTTTCTTCATGAAATATATTCTGCATTGTTAGTATTGTGTATTTTAAATATTGCTTAATGAAAAAAATTGTAGTTGATATCATTTTTTTCAGCTTCAAATATGGGATACAGCTGGCCAGGAACGTTTCCGTACCATTACACAGAGTTACTATAGAAGCGCTCATGGAGTCATCATGGCATATGATATCACAAAACATACAAGTTTTCTCCATCTTCCTCAATGGGTAGATGAGTTAAGAAATTATACTGAATCAGATGTACCATTAGTTTTAATTGGTCAGTTAACATTTAGTTTTCTTAGAAAATAATTAATTGAAAAAATTAGTTGTATTTCACCATCATCTGTGCGGCAGCCTGTAGGGTTGCTGCTGTAATACAGCTATTATGGTATAGCTTGAAAATTTTAATTTGAATGTATTCTGTATATTTGATTGCAAAAAAGGTGTGTTCTCTGCTAAGTAAATAAAATTTTGTGTTCAGTTGTTACACTGGTTTCAGGTGAAACAAATACAATGATTTGATAGTTAGCCCACAGTTCTGCTTGAGCTTAACGATCATCTGTTGGTTGCTTACAATTGTGTTAATTAAATTCTAGATTTACTTGCAAATAAAAAATACAATATTTTTCAAAACTAGGCTGTTACCTGTGCTTGATTTACTGTGAGGCCAGAGAGGATCTGACCTGGGCCCCCTAAATTTTACAAATGATTTCTTTTTGTGTTTTTCTCATTAATTCTCTTTTAAAGGTATGAGATAACGAAAAATTTCATAAATAATAGCTTAAATTTACTTACATATTATAATTTACTTATGTTACAAATAATTTTGAAGCATTTTATAAATAAAAACAAGTACATATGGTTTAAAGTTACAACCAGGGGGCCCTTGGCAATTGTGTGCCTAAAGCCCCTACATTTCTAAATTATGTCCGGGTTGTTACATTTAAAGTACTTTGTCATAAGCGCTTGTTTTAAACATGTTTAAAACATTAAATAAAAAAGTATGCTTTAAACACTTAAAAAAAACACGCAACCTATGTCTTTCGAATTCTAAAATTGATGAAAAATGTTTAAGACAGAAAAACCATCTTATTTTTTGTACAATAACAGTGTCTAATGTGGCAAGCAGTTTTTTTTTACGCTTACCCAATGCTGTGATTAAAAAAAATTACAAATTCTGAAATTTTTTGCTACTCCTTATTTTTTAATATAAATAATTTTTTATTTATTCATATGAGCTATAATTTTCTATTGCATAAACTATAATTAAATTATAATTTTCCATATTTATATAATTTATTTTTGTCTAATGTTGTACCGTTACCCCTCTAGCTGTGATCTCTAAATTTAACTTTAGTAACGGTTACCCAGGTTATACAGTAAGCAAGTATCGAATGAATTACAGGAAACTCTTAACATTTAAAACTCATTTTTATTGCAACTCTAAATCTTCAAAAAACATAATTCCACACATTTCCAAATACTAGCATGGGAATAAACACTTCCCTTTATACATTAATTAAAACAACATGCAACCTTAAAACACTCAAGCATAAACTTCAATTCATGCAGTTAAAAAAAACATTTAAGAAATAAAAACTGCATTTAACATTACTAAAAACACTTAAGACTTGGTTTGTGATGTCTATAAATCACACTTAAATACTCATTGTTCTCCTACCCAAAAAACACAACATAAACAGTTCAGAATTTACGGTAAATGATTCCTCTAAAATGTTAACGAAATAAAATTTAAAGTTTTATAAGTACCCAAAAGAATTTACTGTTCGCCCTCTGGAAACGCCCACCGGAATGGTAGATGAGCTCGTGGGCAAACTCCTCGGCTAGGATCTCAACATTTCTCCAGCTATTCTAACTTCATTATTAGGCTTAGGGATGTAGAAGGGGAACACCGGACTTCCAGCATAGATACGTTCGGACTTGGCCCACCGTCTCGAAGATATCGGCCTTCGGCTAATCACGGTCTCTCTTCCCGCTAGAGACTTCAGTTTAGCTTTCCTAAAAGTTCACGATCCACCATCTTCGAGGTGCTGTCACGGACCACCCTTCCTGCGGACAAGCTCCGTATCCTCCGGGTTACTCCCTCAGCCACACTCTTCACTTCTCTTTTATTCTCCCTTCAGCAAGGCGAAAGAATCTACATTGACCTGTTTACCAAATCCAGGGTCATCCTGCATCTGGCGGACGTCAGAACCAAAAAAAAAAAAGATCCCTGAGAAAAAACAGTCATAAACCCACTAATACCCTATAGAAGTTATAATACCATCCTCAATAAATATTAATAAATTTAGTTACCCAGATTTCGCCCCAAAAATCCCATTTTAAACGACTAATTCGAAATTTCCACACAAAAAATATCATTATTATGATTGAATTTAAACTTTACCATAGTGATGCCATCTACAGAAAAATAATCTATCTTTAAAAGTATTGAAAAAAAAACTATTATAAATTTCTATTTATTACAATGTTACAAGTATAAAAAACAAAATTCAAACAGCTGTGCTGGAAAGTTATCAAAAGGCCATAACAAATGTCCCTTTTTTGGCAAATATTGGGGATCCATGTTTTAGAGGGGACTCTTTAATAAGAGAAGAATAAGGAAATGGCCTGTGCTGCTTGGTTACACCATTAATTAGTCTCCAAAATTATGAAGTACCAAGCACTATTCTTTACCTATATGTTGATGTGGAGATGTTTATTTTATTATAAATAATAAATTGTTTATTTTGTGCAGGTAATAAGTGTGATCTTGAATCTGAAAGAGAAGTGCCTTTTGAAGAAGCTTTAGCGTTAAAAGAGCAGATTCCAGAGCTGGTAGCAGTGCTTGAAACAAGTGCTCGAGAAGATACAAATGTAGAAAAAGCTTTTGTCACTTTAGCTCTTGAACTTATGAAACGTTGCAATAATGGTTTCCCCTTACAATCTCAGCATAATGATAATTTATCTTCTATCAATAGCAGCAATATCACTGGCCCACGTAGTTCATGTTGTTCATGACAACCTTCAATTGTATGATTCTAATTAGACGTTTTCTTTTAGTATATGTTAAGATACAGAACTGTTTATTTTTTTTCAAAGAACAAATTTTTTCGTTTACTGTTGTTAACCGACCAATTGTCTATTGCACATCAGGTTTAGTTGCAGTTAATGAGTTTCTCTTTATTGCAACTGAACCTGATATGTTAACCTGAATAGTCAATGAACAGGTAAGGTGGCATATCACATTTGTTAAAGACTTGGTCGGATAAGTTATATTTATTTTTAAAAAGAATGTATTTAAGAATATTTTATTTGGTGTTTTTATTTAATTTCATTTTTCTTAAATTTCACTAGATTTTTTAGTAAATTATTTTATTTGAGAGTTAAATCTGTGAGAGATCAGAAATTAAAAAAACTAGGTATTATGAAATTCATTTATTTAGGAAACAGCATTTCATTAAGTTATCTTGTTCTAGCTTATTTAGATATGATGAAAATATTAAAAGCTTATACCTGCCAACTACTGTGAATTGTATAAAGTTTTTCTAAAAATATATCTTAACATTGTGTGTTATAGTATATATCTTAGGCTAACTGGATAGGACAAACAGCAGCTGATTTGATGCAACTGCATTATTTATGCTTTTAAAAAACCTATTTTCTATAAATAGTAATATTTACATCAAGATTTCTGCTGCTTTAGAATTGAAATTGGTTTAAATGTATTTGAGAAAAAATTAAAAACTTTTTATCTTTTGAAATCATTGTTGAACTCTGTGTTTGACTATTTAATTATTTTTAAAAATCTTTTGTGCTGTAATAAAACTTATTTTATGCATATATCGAAATAGTTAGGATGAATTACAAATACAAACAGTTGTTTCTTTTCAAAAGTAAATTTTTAAAAAAAAATCCATTATTTTTTATTTATTTTTTTATTAATTAACAAGCTTTATTTAAAACTTTATATGCTGTAATCAAGTTTCACTTTCTTTTATAGTATATAAGTATGTCCAAGTTACTTCGTCTTCAATTTTTAAATGCATGTCTCAAAGTAAATTTGTACAGAGTTGTGATTTTTTCCCCTGCCACAATAACTGTTCTTTACTTTTAGTAAAAATGATATTTTAATAAACCTCAGTTATTTGGGCCATAAGAAAATTGTGTTTTGCAGTAAGTATTTGATGGAATATTAAAAATGTAGTATTAAGTAAAATGTTAAGTAGAGGTCACTGCGTCCTAAAAATGTAATGATTTCCCATTTATTAACTTATTATTATATAAAAAATATGTTTTTTTTCCTTAAAAATAATTTATATTTAATGAAACCTTTACTATTGTTTAGATGAGGTCATGGTTAAGAGAATTAGTATTATGTATGTTATAATAAGCTTGATATACCTTAAAGTAATATTGATCTTGGCAATAAAAGGAANTGATTTCCCATTTATTAACTTATTATTATATAAAAAATATGTTTTTTTCCTTAAAAATAATTTATATTTAATGAAACCTTTACTATTGTTTAGATGAGGTCATGGTTAAGAGAATTAATATTATGTATGTTATAATAAGCTTGATATACCTTAAAGTAATATTGATCTTGACAATAAAAGGAAATATTATAAAGATCAACATTTCCTTATAACAAAATATCAACTAATTCAAAGTTATTAAAAAAGAAATAAATTTGATCAGTTTTAATATGAAATGTTTGACAGCTCTATATGCAAATTAAGTATATATAACTTCAAATTACTTTTGATTTTTCTCATATTACCTTATGTATATATCTATGAATGTTAACTTGTTAGAATTATATTTATCTTGGTTCATATGTTATTATTATGTAACTTAATGTAGAGTGTGTAGCAAATACTTTTTTATTAGAAAATTTGAGCTTGCTATTTATTTTTGTTTTGTGTGAACTAAAGTGACATTATACATAAGCTGCTTTATAATTGTATGAACAAATTTATATATTTATTTATGCAGAAATTTATATTATTTGCCTATAATAAAATTTTTAAATGCCTATTTTTTTCGTGTGGTGTAAAAAACTGCAAGAGAAGTTTAATTTTAAAAAAATTCTGTTAGTTTTAACTAAAACTTAAGTGTTTTTTTTTTTCTTTTCTATTAAGGGCATTGAAACTTTACCTGGCCAAAGACATGAATAAATTTTAAAAGAAATAGATTATTAAGTTGGTAATTGATTTTCTCGAATAATTGAGTAATTCTAACTTATCTCTACCACCAAAAATTATATTAAAAGTAGTTTTCTTATCAAGTTTCTCTTTATAGAAGTAAAAATAAATAAAATAATTTGTTTTATTCAAAATTAATGTAAATGTTTAAGCTTTAAAGTTGTATCCACATTAGTTTGGAATTAACAGAAATTTTTAATTTTTTTAAAACTTATAATCACATATCAACACAGTACTTTTGAGTATAATTATTATTTTAAATAAATTTTTTTAAATCCATCGAATTGGCTTTGATTTTTAGAACGGATTTTACTGAGCCTCACTTCACTTTATTTTAAAGTTTCAATTAAATTAATAATACTTAATTACCATGAAATTCTGTAAATATACATCTACTAAATTCACATTTGTTTTAATAATTAAATTTTTCACAATGTAATTCTGTTAATTAAGTTATGCAGCTGCAATTCTCTAACAAACTTTGTTCGTTTCCGTCTATTTTTATGCAAACTTTTCCAAAATTATTTCCATTTTATTTATTTATTTTTTTTTAAAAATTACTTCTGTTTAAAAAAAAAACATGTTTGCTTTTTAAAAACTTACAATTACTCATTAATTTTAATCATATACACCCTAGCTTTGTGTTTAATTTTGTGAATTTTTTTTTCTCTTGAACTGTGCTGAATTTTGCATGAAGTAAAGACTTGTGATGAGTTTGCAATAATTACTGTGATATTCATTAGTAATATGGACTGTTTTAGTTTCTAGTGATAAATTAGTCTCTTTGTTATTGTGTCTTTTTTATTGTTATTTATGTTTTAGTAAGCAAGAAATCATTAAAATTATATTTTAGGCAGATTTCATTTCATTTATTTTGAATAACAATTTCTGTAATTATTTGATATTGTATTTAATATGCGAATAAAGTAATGAATTTTTATGGCTATGTATTCTCATATTCATTTAACAGAATTTAAACAAAGTGATCTTTTTTTTCTTTTTACTTAAAACAAATGCTATTTTACTGTTTTTGAAATTGAAAGTTTGTGAGAAATTTTTTTTTTTTAATATCTTTAAATATTTTGAGTTTTTACATTCAGACATTTTGTTTTATCATTTAGAAACTTGAAATTATGAAGGTTTGTTGAAAATTGCTCAGGGAGTATGATAGAGTAAAAAAAAATTAACTTGCGTTTATTAAATAGAAATTAATAACTGTTAAACTTGTAGTGTTAGTTGTCTAGCTATGTTAAATAGTTAATAACTGTAAAAAAAACTGTTAAACTTGTAACTATTAAACTTTTAGCAAAAAATATGTGAGCCACTCTGCTGCCCACAGAAATGCAATAGCAGAGTTGAAATTGGTTGTGCAGAAAAGCCATTTCTATTTATCAATTTCATACAAGCTTTTTTTTCTTCTTAATTGCATCAAAAATTTTTGCAATTTTAAGTGCTTTTTTTACTTTAAATAATGACTAGACATCCATTGCTGTAGAAAATTACTCTCTCCCAGAATTAGTCTTATAAGCTGACGCTTGTGATAAAAAAAATATATAGAGAGATATGGAATTCAATGTAAATCATAACATTTATATTGAGTTTTTTAAAATTATGCAAAATTTAATTCAATATATATTAAAATCATTGCCATTTTAAACAGTTATAATTACATACAGGGGGTGGACAAAATAATGGAAACACTTCTATACTAATACATTTCTTCCTATTTTTCCAGAAATGCTTAACTAATTATGAATGCTTAGCGAATTATTATAATTGAACTTGAAGAAGTGTTTAGATTAGGCGGTTTCTCATACATATCAATAAAGTTTAAAGCTTATCGAGATTTGAGGGACTGATAATAAATTACAAATGTGAAATGTTTTTTTTTTAACTCCCTATGCCAAAATGTGCAACGACTTGTGACAGTTTTTTTGGTTACTATATGCAAAAATACTCAAAATTTCACAAGTCTAGCTTAAATATTTATGGAAATATGGTCATTTTTTAAAAAAATAATAATTTTTTTGTCTAACGTTTTTTGCTATAACTTTAAGAAAGAAAATCAATAGAAATAAGTACCATTTTTAGAACAATTTAAAATTAATTATGAAACTCTTGCTTTAAAATTTGAGAAAAATTAGTTCCAAACAGCGCAAGAAATGAGTAATTAAAGTAGTCCTTTAATACTGCTCAGGCAAAATTAAAAATACTAATTTTGTAATGAATCATATTTGACAATTAATTAAAAAAGTCTGATTTGAATATCTTAAAAAGTTTCAACCAAGTTTCAAAGTAGTTAAGTACTTTATAAAAGAAAGCTTAAAATGATAATAGGTTTTCAACAAATATTGTTTTGTAACTTAAGACAGAATTTAATAACAAATGATAATACCTTACAGTAAACGTACATACACCAAAATGTGATTTATCAAGGAAAGAAAACAGGTGAAAAAAAAGATACTTTCATAGGGGCTGATTCCGAAGAATGCCAGTGACATTTTTAATAATTCTTGTTTAATAGTACAAAATGAAATGTGTGGAAAACCCCTTATCATTTTGAGTTTTCTTTTAAAAAAGTACGAAAATTACTTGAAACTTTTTAAACTTTTAAGTTATTTAAATTGGATTTTTTTATTAGTTGCCGTAATACAATTCACTACAAAATTAAGAAAGTTTTTTTTCTCTGCCCATGCGCAGTGTAAAAGAACTACTTTAATTACTCATATCTTGTATCTTGTCCAGTTTTAAACGATTTTTTCTCAGATTTTAGAGGGGATTTTAAATTGCTTTAAGAGCTTTGTTTAATTTTATTAAGAATTTTAAAGTTCTAGCAGGAAAAAGTAAGACAAAAATAGTATTTTATAAAAATGGTCATATCTCCATAAAACTTTAAGCTAGGCTCACGAAATTTATGTGTAATTATTGTATATAATGACCAAATTAACTGCCACAAAAAATAAATCTCTTGAAACAGTTTTTGGCATAAAGAGTTCAAAAATATTATTT